AAGGTGCAGAGTATGGTGCCAGACCTCCTTTATATCAACCTGCTGGGGCAAGAACTAACCCACTCCCTCAAGAAAGGCACTGACCTCTTTCAATAATCTAATCTCTTAAAGTTTGTACCACTCACGAAGGGGAAATACAGGCTAATCCTTGAGATTTTGGGGAACACAAACCATAGCAAAATGCAGCCTAGAGGGATTTAATAAGTTAGTAAGCTAGGGGCTGGGGTGTAGTTCAGTGATAGATCCCAAGTGCTACAAAATAATTAATAAGCTAATAAGAAGATTCTTGGGACTCAATCTCAGAATTATCTAACCCCAAACTCTGAGCACATGGCCATCGTGTTCTGCTATCCCTCTTTCTTTCTGGTATATTTATTAGATGTCGGGCCTTGCATTTATGATACATATATCCTCACACCAGGATGGGGCTATGGGTCAAAGTTCACAGAGGACAAAAGGTTCTCTCCACATGTTAATTTTCACCCCTCCTGGAGTCATCAGCCTTTTATGGTGGCTATCTCAGGTGTTTTAAAGCAGCATATTGAAGTTTAGAGGGTTCAAAGGGATTGGAGGACCCAAAAAACCTGCAGGAAGAGTTCATAGATGTCAACAAGTAACTCTAATTCTGTAGTTTGGGAAATGAAATTTACGTGCAGGCTTACCTGGAATCTCAGGGCTTAGAGGCAGAAGGATCAGATTCTGACACTTTGGGACCTTGGTAATTTGGGATCTTGGGGACATAACGTAAGCTTTCTGGGAGACACATCCTAACATGTCTCTTCATCTCTCCTGTCAAATGGGATATTCTAGACCAAATCTCAATGTGCTGTGAAAAACTTTAAAAATAATATGAAGTACTGAGTCCAAAGTCTGCATATAACAAATATTCAACACACAGCAGCTAGTATAATTTTTACTGTGTGTACTCTATAATACACAATAGCAGCTAATGTTTTCTGAGCACTTCCTTCACGATAGGCAGTAAGTGCTTTGCTTGCATGATCTCATTTCTTTCTCATAGCAACTTTGGGGTGACGCTATTAACTACATTCTATAGCTGGGGGAAAACAGCCTGGAGAAGTTCCGTAATTTGCTTGAGGGATAGCAACTTGTTCGAAGCAAGGCAGGATTGGGACAGAGGTGATCTGGCCCCAGAGTCCACACTCTTCACCACCAAGAAGTTCTGATCTCTTTCTGCCCCTGCTTAAGTTTCTGCAGTAGAACTGTCCTGGCCCTATCAGCCAATCAGCTAACAGAGTAGTGTGTGTGTGTGTGTGTGTGTGTGTGTGTGTGTGTGTGTGTGTGTGTGTGTGTGACTGTCTGTGCATTGACAAAGACCCGCATGCTGGTGAGGGGTACTATGAACAATATGTGAGAAATGTGAGGCTCTGAGTGCTGCATTTCCAAAGAGAAACTATTCATCATCTTACTGTGAATGTATTTTATATGGCCAACATACCACAGGGATAAAGGACTGCAAGTGTGAAAAGAGGTAGGAATAAATTAGAGAAAAAAGCAAAGCAAAGAAACTCACCCTAGCCCTCAGCACACCCTCATGAGATCTCCTTCGGGGGCTGTTTCCTTAGGACTGGTTTACCTTTGAGACAACACAGGAAAAACTGGTTTAAGGGAAGCACATTTTGAGGGAGAGATAAGATTGGGAATACTTTGATAGAGGAGAAACAGGTCTCAACCCATTCAACACGCGCACCCCCCGCCACAAGCATATGCACATGAACAACACTCACCCACAAGAAATCATTCTTTTTTGTTTTTCTCTCCCAAGTGCAGATGGACTGACCTGTAGGGGCAGTCTTCAAGTTCCCCGGTTGCTACTTGTTTCTCCTAAGCCAATTTGTTTCAGCTGCCTCTGAGTTCCAAACTATTGAGCCTCTTGGATCTCAATGACTTTCTCCTGGTACCCTGCCCTGCCCACCCAGGAATGGGTGATCACTGAACTTGTGCTCTGAACTTGTGCAAAATTTTATGAAAGAGAAGTCAAAGTACCATTTGGATAGTAAAGAATTATTCCAATGGTAGCACCAATATAAATAAGCAACGTGAAACATCGACACTTTGCAGTCCCTAAATCTCAGAGGAAAGTCTTTCTTTTAGGGTGATTTCCAAGGGTACACAGTTCTGTTGGCTGAACTATGGCTTCTTTCCAATGATTCAGCAACCGTGGTGTGATTTCTGGGTGTGTGTATTCAAATTTTCCTTAGCTACATTTATGCTGCTTGAGAGATAGACCAGGGTTCTAATCTAGACTTAAAGTACTTAGTATCTGTGAGTGATTAACAAACCACTTCCCCAGTTCTGAATCATGGCTCTTTCAATTGTAAAATGAGGATAATAAATACTGGTACCATGAATTCATTGTAGAATTAATGAGACATTGTGTCTAAAGTACTTAGCATGATGCTAAAATATAATGGGTAGTTAATAAATTAATCTTTAAGTCAGTGACTTAAATCTGTGGTATAGAAGAGACTTAAGAAGGGAAGACTGCAAAAGAAACTGACATATAAAGAAAATAATTGATAACAATAACAACAACAACAATAAAATGTTTTTCCCACAATCCAAAACATTGTTATGTATGTTGTATATAGACAAATAGTATGTGGCTGGTGGTTACTTTCAGTCCCTTCAGTTTAGACTTAGTAGGGAACAACTACAGCAGATGATCAGTGTCTCAAATCCAAAGAAGAAAACAAAGTGATATTCTTTGAATATTAGAGTTATGAGGGGGGTGATTTTTGAGGTATAAAATGAACCAGTGACCTGGCTTAGGATTTCTGTGCTTTTCTTTAGTGTGACAAACAGCTTGTAAGATATAGTTTGACGGCAGAATTGTAACTTCCAAAAAGTTTCTGTGGTTTATGGGAGGGAGTGTTTGAAAGTGGGGTAATTTTGAAAAAACATGATCACAAGGGCCATAGATCCATAGTCATGAACATGTATTTGGAGTTAACAAGTTTTACAGTATAATTTTAAAAACTCAGCTTCCATGTTTCATATCCATTAGAAACCTATCCAAATTCAGTTGGAAAAATTCTAACTTCAAAATTAAATTTTGAGATATTTTAAGCAAAACATGCTATTTGTGAGCTTCAGCTAAGAAAGGGCAATGTCTCGCACTTGTGAGTATAAACGGCTGTGAGAGCAGCTCAGGGTTATAGTTCTTGGGTCTGTCATGTGGTTTCAGTCACATGGTGGCTGGGGCTGGAGTAATCAAAGATTCTGCTGGGTGGGAACCCTCATGGGGTTGATAGTTCACGCTGGCTGTTGGCTGGGAGTCTGGTGGTGGCCGTGGCTGCTGTTGGAGCACTGATATGTGGCTGCTTCATGGGGCTTGGACTTCTAAAAGAGAAGCATGTGTCTGAGAGAGCATTCCAAGAACTAGCATTCCAGGAAACTAAAGTGGGAGCTTCAAGCCTTTTTATAACTTCTCCTCAGAAGTCACACAGTGTCAACATTGTAGCATTCTATTTGTTACACAGGACCAGTGAGGATTTGATGAAGGAGGAGACTATTCAGTGGCATGAATGTGGGGGAAATAGTCCACTGAGGCCATCTTGAATTTAGTTGCTAAAGGGGAACTTATGAGATCAGAAACCCTCTTGCTGAGAGTAGGAGTTTTGAAAATTATTTTCATTTCCATGGAAAAAGGAGTAAGGATGCTTTGTCATTGCTTTTCATAAAATCAAGCCAGGCTATAATGCAACTCCTAGCATGAACGCACAGGGTTTCTGAGACCAAAGGAATCAGCTGTGTATCTGAGAAGTGCAGGAAAGTTAGTGTAGAGCGGTCACCTTCTGTGTCCCCAAGTGGGCAGGCACAACTCTGTTCTGGCCAGAAGCAGGTACAGTAGCAATGTTGGCATCTCCTTGTGGACGTTTGTAGAAGCGGCCAAAGTAGAGATAGGCTCACCTTTGGGTGGGCTTGTCTTTGGGGCACCCATCATATGAGCTTACTTGGGAACAGAGTGAACATTTTTAGGTGAGAGAACCCATGATCCTAGAATCCCCTCAGTGTTTGGGTGAGGCTTCAAGTGAGGTTGTGACTTGGTGAGCTTTTCACACTAGGTAAGCGGTGTGGGAGTGGCCGGAATTTTGTTCTAAATTCTAATCCAGTGATCCTTATGGGCCACTCCACCTCCCTCATTGTAAGTTTTACCTTTTTTGCGTAGTCTTTCTTGGCACTTAATTATTTCAGGATTTGTACATAGTGAGACTCTCAGAAAAAAATTGTAAGTTGGCTTGGGTGGGAAGCACAGCCACGTACAAGGGGGTCCCCTGGACTATACTTGAGACTATGGATATAAGACTATGTAGTTCTGTTCCAAGATAGAGCCGTTATCTGGGAACCATGCCTGCTCTGTCCCTGAGTAAATCATGAGAGGTTTCTACGCATTTCCCCAAGTTTGTTTATGCATTCAGAAAATACTTTTTAGATTCCTCCAATGTGCCTGACCTTTCCTCAATGTCTCCAAATAGATCAGTGAACAAAACTGATGTCCTTGTCCTCCTGGAGATTAGAATCCCATGAGAATAATCTTAACATTTCCAATGTTGGAAAATTGAAACAATTGTTGCTCAGAACAAAGATGGCTGGCAAATACATGATTTTTACCCCTCATTTTACAAATGAGTTACAGCAGTTAAAGTTTAATTGAAATAACATTAAATTTAGAAGCATTTACTTCGTATTTAAAAATATTAGACCACTAAGGTGACCATGGAATGGATCTTGAATAAAGAAATATTAAATTAGAGAGTTAGGCATAATGAAATACCGTGAAAGAGATTAGTTACTGAGTTAATTTTTAATTTTCCAAACACCATTTCAGAAACAATAGCACCCTGGCATTGAACTGGAGTCTTTGAAAACTCTGCCTCTCCTTGGAGCTCCTAATATGACCTCATATTGTTGCATTGTTGAATAATCTCAACATTTTTGGGTGTAACCAATTTAACAAGTTGACACTTGGTGCTGTTCATACAACATGTCCCTTAGAGGAGCAAGACAGAACAGGACCGAGAGATTACAGCAAGGTAATGGGATTTAGGCATCTTGAACTTTGTTGCCTGTGCAATTTCATGCTTGGAACTGGCCTGTGATGCCTGCAAGTTACCCAAACAAATGACTTAAAACGTAACAAAGAAGATAACTTAAATTTAGTCAAAGCTGTTGAGTGTGAATAATTTGATTAAAGTCCATTTTTCTAATCATCACTTAGCAAACATTTATTAAGGATCTATTCTGTGCCAGGCAATGTAGATAATCAAGGTTACTACCCAGGCAGAGCATAACTCAATGGAAAGGAGAGACAGTAGAACAGAGTTTGGGCGAGAATTAGTGCTAAGACGCAGGTGACACAGGAGATGTGACTGGATTACGTTAGGCTGAGTGGCTATTCCACTTTGGTGGGAACTGGCCTGCTGTAACTGTTTAAGTTTGTTGTGTCTGATGTTTAAACTAGCCTTCAGGAGAATATTGCACAAGGTAAAGGACAAGTGGTCAGAGGTCAGATGTCCTGAATTCTCTAAGTTCAGGACCTTTTAGGCCTTTCCTTGTTAAGATCCTTATTAGAAGTAGGACTTGATGGACATTTAAATCTCTTTAAATTCTAGCACCTAGTAATCACATCTGTGTCTTTAAGCTTTAAGAACACTTAGATTTGATGAGGTTTCCCACAGAGAACTGAAATGACTAGCAGTATCTTTCTTATTAACACTTGATGTTTTCTAATTCCAATGTTCTTTTCAACATATTTTTCTTTTCATCTTCACAAGAAATCCTGTAGATGAAGAAACTGAATTTTAAAGCAGTTAAATTATCAAATTTCACAGAGGCAGTAAGTAGAGGGTCTATTCAGCAGGGCCTTAGCAAATGACAGTTGATGACCATTAGATTAAAACAGCCCTATGCAAAGATAGCAAGCTAGTTAGCTCTAATTTCCTTCCAAACACCACAATTCTTCGTGTCTTTTACAAGTGTATCCTCAAGTTAATACTCTGTGGGTACCATTTCAGATAAGGGATCAGATGATATCTAGGGGTTATTTTGCCCAACCACAGACGTGAAGCTTCTTGAATCTTGAAGACATGACAATATAGCTACAGCTATATAAAATGAAGTTTCACCCATTTAATAATAAAAAAGGATAAACTGCCTCTGGGAATACAAAATAAAAAGCTACTTTGGAAAATGCTTTGAAAATTTCTTATATGTTTACCAAAATGACCCTAAAATCATATTTGTAGGTATTTATTTACATGAGAGAAAGGAAAATCTTAACACAATTTATATTGTTTTTTTCATAGTTGCAAAAAACTGGAAAACTCCAGTGTCCTCAGTTGGTGAACAGATGAACATTCTGGTATATACGTACAATGGAGTATTGCTGAAAATAAAAGAACAGAGTCTCAATACATGCAATAGCTTGGACGAATCCCCAAGGTACTTTTGCTAGTTGAAGGAAACCTAATTTGAAAGGTTATATGTTATATGAGTTCATCAGTATGGCAGCTTGGAAAACTATAGGATCAGAAAATATGTTTATGGTTCTGTGAGTTAGGGAAGGGATAAATGATAAAGACACAATAGAATCTTTTGAAATGCTGGAAGTATTCTATATAGATTGTGGTAACAAGTGGTTGACAACACTGAATGCATTTGTCAAAACTCATAGAACTATGAAAAAAGAAGGATAAGTTTGACTATACGTAAAATATAAACTCATAACCTGATTCCTTCAAAAAAGTAGTAATATACACTGTATTTTGGTGTGTTTTGGTTTTAAAATATTTTGAGTGAAAGACTTTTTCTTTTTCAGAAAAATATCCCATTCTTATTCAGTATTTATTTTCTGATAATGTCAAGTGGGGTCAAAATCAGTAAGTCCCTTCAAGAAGAAATTCAATTAACCAGATTGGAGTGCCCCAATTGGGGGGGCATGAACACCAGGTTAGAAATAATGAGAGTAACCTACCACTGCTTCAATCCCTAGGACTCACTTTCCATAATCTGTTTCATACATTTTTAAAATGGTAACTCTGTAATCCAGTGTATTTTAGCACCAGTGCTTACTTGCACTATTTGTAGATTGCAAAGCACTTGAGGTCAATGGAGTACAAAGGATGCAAGGTCACATAGGAAGTAGAATTTTTCTTCAGCGTATAAATTCTGTGAGGTCAGGTACTAGGAAAAATTCATTATGGCATCAAACACATTTTTTTCTTGGGATTGAACTCCCAGGAAATTTACAGCGACCTAGAATTTCAGCTATTGATTGATTGATTGATTTTTCTAAGCCACTAACCTTCCCAAGCTGGGCTTGAACTTGAGATCCTTCTGCCTCAGTCTCCCAGAGTACTAGAATTATAGGCATATTTCACCGAGGACTGAAACACTCTTTAATCTCTCAGTAAATGTGCATACATGTCCTTCTAGGACACATGCTGACAAATTCCTTCTCATATCTCAACACAAAAGACTAGCCCTTGGAAAATGCGAAACCCTGCCCAGTCCAGAGTGATGCAGAGGACTGAGTCAGGGATTTCTTCTGAGTCAAGAGGTTTTCACATCTCTTCTTTCTCCTGACATATCTTCCTTAGGAGTCAGAAGCCCAGATCAGCCTCAGGGTTCTCCTCAATATAGTTTGTTAAGAAGTCACTATCATTCATCTGGAGATGGCATTTGTACGCAAGTTCTCTTATAATTGGTGAATGCTCATTGTATATATTTATGGGGTATAATAAACTGAAAAAATTCAGTAGAAAACTTCAGTGGCAGACTTCATCAAGCAAATGAGTCAATGAGCTTGAAGAAACCATTTGAAATTATCCAGGGAAGAATTTCTGAAACACAAAACAAAAAACAAATGGAGAAAGACTATGAGACATATGCGATATCATCGAGAAAGCTACCATTTGTATGACGCACACTTCAGAAGCGGAGGAAAAAGAACAGAAAGTCCATGTATAGAAATAATGACTGAAAACTTTCTAAATCTGGAGAAAGATATGCATGTTCAGGAACAAGAAGATGTATGCAAGTTCTTCTGTCTTCAAGAAATGAAACACAGCCTGGCTTAAGTAATTAGGGAAATGAAGAAGTGCTCATGTGACCTAAACACCAGGCTGGCTCCAAGAGCAGGGTGACCATGCTTCACGATGTTGCCATCTCTGGACTCTGCCTCCCTTTGTGTTTACAAGCCCCATGCAGCTTCAGGGCAGTCAGGAGCCAGCAGCCCCACATCTTCCTTCCCCCTCTCTGGGGTTTGACCACAACAGGAAAGAAGGCGTCCTGTTCTCCAGCACTTTGGACAGAAGCCCCAGACCCAGTGGTCATTTCAATAAGAAAGTAAATTCTATGTTTAGCCAGCTCAGAACAATTGGACCCAGGGATGCAGCACAGGGATAAGGGTCAACTGTGAGAAGCAAGAAGGTCCCCAGTAGGAAACAGATTATTGCTACTGGAAGGGAAAGATTCACTTCCGGACGATGAAACCAATGAGTCTTACCTTGTTTAAAATCCCACTACTCAGAGCAGTTCAGGTCCTAGGTATGCAGAGGTGCAAAGAAGGGAGCTGCATTCTGTCTTGCAACATTCAGCTGAGTAAATGTAGGAGTTCCGCATGCATCTAAGAGGATGTGCCCATGCCTGGTGAATTTGTTTTTTGGTGCTCCTTGCTTTCTGTCTCCTTTCAGGCCATCCCTAGCTGCCTGGGATGCTCCACCATATCCCAAAGCCATTGGCTTCTTCGGGACCCAGGTTTCCCTCTTCAGCAGAGGTAATGAAGGAACTCTTACCAAAAAAGCTAAGTGGCAATGGTAATCACATAAACACATGTACAGATTCCCCCTCCATGTTCACAAAGCAACAAATGATGCAAAGTATCATGAAATCTGTACTCCAAATGCCTCAGCAAGATATAATTTATAGAGCACATGATTTAACTCAAATTAAATAAAGCCTAGCCACAGAGTGGATACCAGAAGATAAGAACAGCAATTAACATAAAAAAACACATGATTTAATTCAAATTAAATAAAGCCTTACCACAAAGTGGATACCAGAAGGACAGCAAGTAACATAAAAAAAAAAAAAAAA